CCACCCTGCCTGTGAAGAATGATATTATGGACAGATCTGGCTAGGAGCAGGTGTTCTGCTAGATACCAAGGTCCTAAACCGTTTAGGGCTTTGAATGTTATCATCATAACCTTGAAGTCGATGTGGAAATGAACCCGTAGCCAATGAAGGGCAGCCAGAGTGAACTTCTAGATAACCTCACCTGGATGACAGAGAAACTTCATAGATATATTCCTATCCAGTAATTGTTCAGATGCATGCATACTATCTTCCATGCATCACTTGGCAACAGAATTTACGGCTGTTAGAAAAGTGAAATGCTTTGCCCAACAGTACATTATTGTACAAGTGGACAGTGAGGAAGAATGCAGCAGTGTGCTGCTTTATACTGCCGCACAGTGTTTAAAGCACTCTGCTTTAAAGTTTACAGTTTAAACTGGCTTACAGTTTAATTATGGAGGCTATACATTGCGCGCCCCACCCTGGATACTCAATTGACCAACCTCAGAAGGATGGAAAGCTGAATTAACCTTGAGCTAGCTACCTGAGCTCATTGGGATTGAGCTCAGGTCATGAGCAGAGTCTTGGCTGCCTTACTGCAATTCAGCCACTGCACCACAAGGCTCTTTCGTTTATTTAAGCCTTCTTTTCTTTATTTAAGTTATTTATACCCAATCCTTAGAGGAATTCAAGTAAAATAACAGTAATAAAACCTCAGTAAGAAGAGGAAAGCATGCTCCCTCGGATGTTTCCTTCTGATAAGGGACTTGACGTCAGTTAGCTCTTGGGCAAATGAGAGATGGTTCATTCTCACCATGTGTCTGGTTTTCTCTTTGGCTTTTTTTTTTTTTTGGCTGTCCTGCCCCTTTCCACACAATGATTCCCAACCCTGGATTACCCAGTTTTTCTTAGATTAAAACTCCCAGAAGTGTTCACCACTAGCTGTGCTGGCCAGCAGTTCTGGAAGTTGTAGTCCAAGAACACCTGGGGACCCAAGGTTGGGAACCACTGCTTAGTGGTTGATGAGACCTTGATCTCCTGCCCATTTAGTAGTCAATGGCCCTGGGGCTGATGGTGGACGGTATAGCTAGAGCAGGTGTTACCTTCACTTCCTTCCCTGCCTCCTCAGCTTTTGTCCTGCTGGAAGTACACTTTCATTTAAGGTGGAACTAACCACTCTTCTGAGTCTGTTAATAAACCCTCTGTTTTCATTAAGCAACTAGGAAGGGTGAACATATTGCAAAATTATTTGCTCTCATACCTCTGAGGATGCTGTCTACACCCTCCAGCTACAAAAAGATTCACTGAAAGTCTTCATATTGACTGTGTGCAGGCAAGATGGTATAAAAGTAAGATTTCTTTGTCATCTGTACCATGTAACAAGCCTTAAACATGGGATTCAGCTCATGTGTTGTCTTGTAATTATTCAGGCCATCCCAGCTTTGTAGTAGTTGCACAAAGATATAGTCTTATAGATTTTGAACATTCCAGATGACTTACTTGTAAGTGATTAGGTTTGAATTCCTCCGGAATGCTGAGTATTAGTTTGATTGTTGCCTTTGTTTGGCTATCTGTTGCTTTCTTGTGCTGATGAAATGTAGTTCAGTGAAGCATTTCAGCAAATTGTAAATCCCTTGCTCTCATAGGGGTATTGATTCAAAGAGTTCTGCATTGATTCAAAGAGTTCTGGAGAAGAGTAGGGCATGTTGAAAATAAGATTGTTTTAGCCTTATTTAAATGTAGCAGCCCGAAACAACCTACTGATTTTTAGATATGTGTATAATTGTTCTTTGATTGTGCCTTTGATCTCTGTCTTCTTATCTTCCACATATGCTTGCAGACAAGCTTCTGATAGGTTAATATGTTGCTGAGGGTTCACATTCAGATCTGTTTGTAATGGGCATTATTAGGTAGATGTGATGAGTAGAACTAAATGAGCACTTCCCTTGGGTATCTGAACAAACTGAGAATTGGACCACAAAGTAAAACATGCTTGACTTTGAGAGATATATTCCACTTAATATTTTGGTTAAACTTGCTGGATCTTGTTTTATGCACTGGTTTTAACAAGGATGAATCCAGATGAGTGACAGCTACTTAATTACCCCAGTCCAAAGATAATCGGAATGGGGACATGCCATTTGAATTCTCTGACACATCACAGATGCATAAGTAAGTTCTGAAAAATCAGGCAAATCTTTTCTTAGGTGATGGTGAACTATGTGCTTGTAACATGTCGGTGATGTATCAGAGCATTAAATAATTAGCTACCTTATAAAAAAGAAATCGTATTGTGACAGCATGGTTGTTTCTATCACCAGTTAGATAATTACTTGATTCTTCAATAGCCTAAGAGTAGCAGATTTAAGAACAAGATCTGCTCTTGTGAAGTTCTACCCTGTTTCCACGAAAATAAGACCTACCCTGAAAATAAGCCCTAGATGATTTTTCAGAATGCTCGTAATATAAGCCCTATCCCCAGAATAAGTCCCAGTTAAGTGAAACCCCACCCTCCACCATTGTGCAGCAACCAGAAGAAGATGACGTGACTGTATTTGAATAGATGTAAATTGTTGTACATGGAAAAAAAATCCCCTGAAAATAAGCCCTAATGCATTTTTGGACCAAAAATTAATATTAGACTCTGTCTTCTTTTCGGGGAAGCACGGTATATTTTCATTCTCATAACTGCAAAGGGCAATTAGTAGGACACCAAGGCACCTGCTTGTATTATTAGGAATGTCTTATTCCCTGTAGGTTTTGTTATTGTTTTCTCAGTAGCATTTGACATCTGCCAGAGTCCTCCTAAAATATGGATGTTTTCATGTTACCAATGACGTGCAATATGCCAGTGGTTTACAAATAATTCCCAGCATCAGTGTGATGCTGTTTGCAAGGCAAATTATTCCATATAGCAATTGTAAGTGGAGATGGATTTTCTGAAATTAAACATCAGTGTTTAATTTCAATAATTCCTTTCTTATTGACTGACAATTGTAGAAAAATCAACTATATTGTAAATCCTTGTGCTTGGTTAATTAAAATATGGAATACAGAGGTGCTAAAGAAATATATTTTTGTCCTCAGTGTTGCATTATTGATGCAATATTGTTATTTGTGATATATACTTTAATCCTGTATTAGGGAATAAAATGTGTAGAGTTGGGTTGTTAGAGAAAGGGGAAGATTCTGGTATTATCAGAAACTGGAGTTTATCTGTGCCACCAAACCACATTTTGGCATTTGGCATGACAGAAATGAACCTGTTTCCTCTAGTATCTTTCTATATTTGCTCTTCCCTGGCAAATTATAGTTGGCAATCACAAGGAAATGGTGATTTGCAGGCAAATTGTAGTTTGTAGAAACCATAGTCTAGTTGTTCAGATATAACAGTAAAATGGTTTGCTGTGGACGAGGGTGTGTGACAGTGTGTAAAGAAGTAATGGAGCACATAAGCCCAATACTTGGTCAGATAATATATGGATTGAACTAGTACCTCAGGCCAACCTTAGGCCAGACTTTTGCCCCATCAAGTCGGTCAGTTTTAGCAGGCTTTTTCTTTGCTCTCTTTGATTTAGGGTAAGGAAAGACAATTTTAAAAATGCTAACTTTGAAGCACTTTCAGAGTAAAAGTTGGAGGGCCTGGAGCAGTCGAGTCCTGCTTTTGCAGAAGGAGATCCTAGGAAGTTTTGAAACTTGCCTCTTATTAAATATGCTTAGACTTCATATTTTGTAATGACAGAAATGATGGGTTGGAAGATCTGCGTACAAAATGCTAGAGAAATCCACGTCATGAGATAGTCACTGCTTATTGGGAAACAAAACTAGAAAATAATAAGCATTTCCTCATGCAAAGCCATTTACCAGCAAAAAGAACCTATATATATAAATCTGGTATTTTTCTGGTTTTAAAAATAGCCTACAGAAGAATCTATATACAGTGGGGTCTTGACTTAAGAACGGCTCGAGTTAAGAACATTATGACTTAAGAACCACTCTCATAGGAAAATATTGACTTGACTTACATACTTAGATTTGAGTTAAGAACTGAAAAAAACCACGTGGGAGGCAGGGAAAGTGCAAAATTTGAACTTTCAGTTAACTGTTGGCCAGTGAAAAGGGTGCCTGTCTGCTTCCTCACTCCTCCCAGCGTTTAGAGAGCGGATTGGGAGACAGTCTTCGGACTGCCTGGTACTGCCTGGACTGTATTTTCCCTGCCTTCCCTGAACCTTTCTTGACCTAAGAAAAAAAGAAACAAAATATCCCCCTCTCGTGGTCGAAGGCGGAATAGCAGCTTCCCATTAGTTTCTATGGACGGAAAAGAGCAGATACGGATCAAATGGTTTTCAATGCATTCCTATGGGAAATGCAGATTTGACCTGAGAACTTTTTGACTTGACAACCGCCTTCCAATATGGATTAAGTTCTCAAGTCAAGACCCCACTGTACTTTCTTAATCTTACAAATGTGCACAGTCATTTGACTTATTTCATACCATGACAAAATAGTGGTTTTACATGTATTTTGGAATTAAGTGAGGGGATCGTGCAAGTTTTAAGTTTTCCATTAAAACCAGTATTCCTGTTTAAAAACCCAGCAACCAGCAGGCATGAATGCTCTTTATGCAAGTAATAAAAAGAAGAACATTGTTTAGTCACCAGCCTTTAACTCCAGAGGAATGAAGATGTCACACATTTCCTGATACAGCTGATACTAGGGTCATAAGAATCTGATAATTTTATATAGGAATTTATAAACATCCACAGAATTGAAGCTGTAATGTAAGACATGGACTTGATTCTATTTAATTGCTGAGAAGTCTAGTTACTTTAATCCCGATCCCAGCCTCATACCTTCCGCCCCTTATTTAGCTCCTGCTTGGAGTTTGTTTGTGTTTGTTTGTTTGTTTATGCATTAGCCTTATGTACACTCCTCTATATAATGCTTTTAATTAGTGCTGATGAAACAAAGTTTCAAACTATTTAAATTGTGGAAAAATTCCTTCCCAAATTTTTTGACAGAGAGAGACTGAGAACACACAGCATTGAATCATCAGGAAAATTGAAGATTTCCCCTGAACAGCATTGGGATTTTACTGCAGAGGACTTGAAAGACCTTGGAGAAATTGGACGAGGCGCTTATGGTTCTGTCAACAAAATGGTCCACAAACCAAGTGGGCAAATTATGGCTGTAAAAGTAGGTGATGCCCATAATTATATTTGTATTTCCAGGCAGAAGGGACAGCTCACGATGGAGAATTTAGTGTCTCTCCATCTGACACTCAGCAGTTGCTTTTTATTTTCCCTCTCCCTTAATTATGAAGTCTGTATTAGCTGACAATACTATGTTGATAATGGCTTATCTGGTGTAGTGAAGAGCTTTTAAATAAAGCACACACATACATTAAATGACAGGCAGAGCTTGAGAGACCATTGTTTTATAGTATCTGTGATCTTTCACCTCCAAGTCACTAGTTTAAATCCAGCTCATCCTACTAGGAAGCAAATTTCTGCAGTTGACCATTCAAGGTCCTATGTGAAACGGATTAGTCTCCCCCACACCTTTTTTTTTTTAAATAGTTTAAACATGCTGCAGTAGTTTGTATCTTGAGGGTAGAGTTGGGGTGGATGACAGTTCTTGTTTCTGTGAGGTGCTGCCTGGATGCTCTCGTTCATTATGTTTCTGGATATTATTAAAGCTCATGAGAGTTCTAATTTGTAATTTTTCATCTGCCTTGCACATAGACTAGATGTATTTTGTGCCTTTAAAAATATCATACAGTATTATCACAATCTGGCTGAATCCATTTGCAAAACTTCGTGTGTTGAGATAAATGTTATCAATGACTTTTACCTCCAGGAACCCACATTGCTTTGTTTTCATTAATAGTTACTTGATACTTCATTGCCCTCATTGGTGATAAGAATAATTAATAGTCAGTGATCACAGGGATTTTATTTCCTGCTTTTTTTCTGGTTACTACATTTTCTAAATAATTCCTGGCTGCAGAATAAATGGATGTCAAGAGCAGGTGTGAATGCCATGCCCAACTCAGGTGTCAGCAATGATACCTTCTGGAATATACTCTGCATATTCTAAGACTGTTATCTTAAATGAACAGAAAATTTTTAACAGGGAAGAACATTTCCCACATTCTATATCCTGCTAATCATAAGATAATGGAGAAAAAAAAGGACTTGAGCTATACATTTGTGGAATCTTAGAAATTCTTCAATCAATTTTTTTCATCCCGCATCAGTGTTGATGTCTCCAAATTACACTACTGAACACTGTCTAGGAAGGAATTTGTTCTCTCTCATCCCTTCCTCTCCTACTAGTGGTGCCTCGACTTACAAACTTAATTGGTTCTGGAACTCTGGTCGTAACTTGAAATGGTCGTAACTCGAAGCACCATGTCCCATAGGAATGCATTGAAATGCAATTTTAAAAATCACAAAAAAATATATAAATAAATAAACCCAAAACACTGCAAGACCCATCGGAAACGTGATTAGTCCGTTCTGGCTGAAGAGGGAGGGACAGAAAAGCAAACAAACACTGCAAGACCCATTGGAAACTTGATTGATCCGTTCCAGCCAAAGGGGAAAAAACTGAAAAGCAAACAAGAAATACAAAAAAAGAAAGCTAAAAATCAAACAGAGAGTACAAGACTCATTGGAAATGCAAGCAAAAAAACCCAAAAAGCAAACAGAACGTGGAAGATTCATCGGAAATGCAAACAAAAAATCCAAAAACTAAACAGAGTGCAAGACCCATTGGAAAAGGGGGAATAAAACACAACAAAAAACAAACAAATCCTCCAAGACCCATCACAGCGCAGAAACACAACCCCACCAGCCCAAAATCACGCTGCAAAACCCACCCAGAACAGTTTTTAAAAAGTAGAAAGCAGCACCTTATCAGGCAGTCTGAAGCCTCCTCTGATCGCACACTCACTAACTGCTGGGGCGTAAGAGCTACAAAGAAGCAGCCTCTTCGTCACCAACAGTTAGCAATTTGAATTGCCCACCTTTTTTCCCTGCCTTTTTCTGTTCGTAACTCGAAGCTCCGGTCACAAGTAGAAGCAAAATTTTGCCGGAGCTGGTCGTAACTGGAAATGGTCCTATGTCGGGACGTTCGTAAGTCGAGGCACCACTGTACTAGGAGAATGCTAATTTACTTTTTTCTGTGTATCTATCCAGCTTCAGGCAGCACAACAGTAGAGCAGCTACAGATTAGAAAGGCAGTTTGAAGACAGTTCCAGGGTTCGAAACACAGGGTCAGCATGAGAAGCAAGTCTGAATACAGTCCAAAGACACAAACAGCAGAGGTCTAGTGGAACAGGTAGGTAGTTAGGAGCTGTACACACCAGAAACATTGTTCCAGCACTAAGTGCCTAGAGCTTGAAGGCTTTAAGTTGGAGCCTTCAGAGCCCCATCCATCCAAACATGCTGACCATCACAGTCAATGGGGAATTTTGCAAATGGCATCCTGATAAAAAGTAGCCTTTTATTCGCGAGGAAACCTTCAGACAGCCATTTCAAAACCAAGCAGCATACCGAGTCTGCACCTGGGGCAGAATGGCCTCTTGATTC